CTATGTTTAGTAGTAATTCAGGCTGAGCACCTGGCACACATCTGTAACTCCAGCTGATTGAGAGGCTTTCGCTCATGACCTTGAGAACAGCCTGGGCAGCATAGTTAGACCCTGTGCATAAATATTTATGCATGTGTACACAGTGAATAATTATATGAATGCTGTAAAGGCCCAGGGTTGTAGCCATTGACCATCAGTCCTGTTTTGGGTGCACTTAAGGTTTATGGGTAGAGAACTGGTAGTAAGATTCCCATCTGTGCCTGAGTCATTTGAGACCAGATATTCAGTAATACCAGTGTCTATTCTGTAAAATAGGGATAATCTCTTCCTTAGATTGCCTAAGGACATATGGTTAAGTAATAATTCATAAGGAGAAGGTATGAGACATGTGAAATACCATGAAGAGACACCATGACTCAGTGTCACCAGGTAATTCCCACTGGTGACACTTACTTCTGTTTCATTTGTGTCAATAGAACCTAAGAAATTGTATGGAATGCTCTCTTCAGCAGCACATAGACTAAAAAAGAAATTGTATATAGCTGGGCATGATTTCAGACACACATAATCCAAGCTATGCAGGAGGCCAGTACAGAAAGATTGCAAGTTTGAGTCCACTTTGGCAATTTAGTGAGATCCTATCTCAAAATAAAAATTCAGAAAGGTCTGAGATATAGCTCAGAGGCCTTGGGATCAATCACCAATGCCGCTTCAAAAAAAAGGAAGGGGGTTGGAAATAAATTTTATATAAATCTTTAAATGTTTTATATAAATCTTAACTCATTTCTGAATTTTTTTTCTCTTGAGTTTTTTTGGTACTTTTTAGGTATAGAGTACAGTTACATTCATCATTGGGATCTTGTACCTTTACATGACAGGTCTTGGTTCTCAAGTTTCTGAATTGTTTATGTAAAAACTTAGTGTGATTTTTCCTGTAACCCTTGTGTTCACACAATGAACTTACCTGTGTTAACACTAATGTGTTAACAGAATGTGTCCATGGGAAGCAGATATAGTCCTGAGGAAACCAGTATCATAGTGTTAGGGTATTTTTCTGTTCCCTAATTTCTAAACCTTGTCTCCTCAACTTTTTGACTTTACTAGTTTTTTCCAAATTTTGTTGTGTGTATGTGTGTGCTGGAGGTTGGACCAAGGACCTTAAAACTGAGCTACATCTCTAGCCCATTTTATTTTGAGACAGGATCTCACTGAACTGCCCAGGCTAGACTTGAATTGCAGTCTTTCTGCCTCAGCCTCCCCAGTTGCTGGGATTACAGGTTTGTACTACCACGCCCCGTTTTTTTTGCACCACCATGCCCAACTTTTTTCGCCCCTCATAGTACAGGATGGAATTCAGGTAAAATGTATTGCTAAGCTACATTTCTAGCCCTTTTAATTTTGAGACAGGATCTCATTAAGTTGCCCAGGCTGGGCTCAAACTTGTGATCCCTCCTCCCCAACCTCAGCCTTCTGAGAACCTGGGGTTACAGGCATATTCTATGTGCCCAGGTCATACATTCCTTGTGTAATTCTTAAAACCTGTAAGAATAGTCTCAAATAGAAATTACTTACCCAAGGATATAATTTTCGAACCATTTATCCTATTTTGTGGTTATCTCCCATGTTTCAGCTAAGGTCTTTAACAGCAGAGTGGTTTGTCCAGCGGGGTCTCTTTTCCCACTTCCCAGCACCCACATAAATCAGGAATCATGTACAGGAAATGAAACCAGGTGGCTGAAGCAGCTATACAAGCAAGAGAAGCCTGACCAGGGCCACATAAACCAGATGACAGGAGTGAGATCCTCCACTTACAGTTCGGGGACCATCAGTGAGAAGTGGGATGACAATGAATCTGAAATAAAGGTCGTTGAAATAAAACTGGTTTTCCAAAGGGAAGTGTTTCCTTACCATTTTCCCTCTCACCAGAGAGAATGTGGTAGTCTTGTTATTTGAGTAACATCAGTCCTTGGAGCCACAAAGACATTTCTGAAGGAAAATGTGATTGTTTATATTTTCTGATGTACAGTGTCTTTGTTTCATTTTTCAGATTTTTTTACTCCAGTTCTGAAGATTGATCCAGAGCCTTTATATGAGCTCTATCTCCAGGCCTTTATTTTATTTTGAGATAGGATCTCACTAAGTTGCCTGGGCTGGGCTCAAATTTGTTATCCTCCTAGAACATCCCACAGTCCTGGAATCACAGGAGTGTGCCACCTTGCCCAGCTTTCAGGGTTTGTTTTTTTGTTTTGTTTTTTTTTAAGCTGTCCTTACTGAATCCATATACTTACAGCAAAATAGACTGTGTAGAATTTCCTCCCCACTGTACTCAAAGGAGCAAAGTGATTTTACCTTTAGAAGTCAACCTTGCAGTTACTTTTTTTTTTTTTGTACCAGGGATCGAACTCGGTGCAGTTACTTTTAATTCGTACTGAGTACTTTTTTTTTTTTTTTTTTTTTT